TCCAGAACGGAAGTCGACGCAGGTGGCCTCCGGAGCGAAGCGCTCCCAGGTTGCTCGCATCCCTCCTCGCTGAGATGGGTGCCACGGGCATCTTCAACAGGTGAAGAATGGCAGGGCGCGGTCGGTGGGGATGGTGCTTCTAGCGCCACTATCGAGAGCAGGAAAGCATTTGCACCACATGCTATCGAGAGGATGTTGTGCAACCGTCGGATGGACTCGCGCAATTGGTCTGGGTGGCCTCGCACAGTGGTTCGAATACGTTGGCCATGCCATTCGAAAGGTTTGCAAGCTCAATGGGCTCTGCGACCCATCTTTCAAACCCTGCGTCGTATGCAGCCTAATATGAGTGAGTCCGAGGTTCTCGCGCGTTGAGTCTAGCAGCAGGGGCCATATGCGTCCCCAGGGGGATTTCTGCACGAAACTATATGGTGTGACTGGCGTCCGGGCCCCTGGGGCCACACACTTTTCTAACCTCTTTGCCGCCCCTTAGGTGTCCAGGGAATCTTTGGGGATTTTCGGGCGGCTACAATCAACCTGCATTGTAAGGATGGGCAACCTTCCCAAGGCTACCCTTGTATCCTTGCCCCCTCGGCCCATCCTTGGCCGCTTTCGCTGGCCGCGCCCCGCTCGCAAAGTGTCGCAACGGCCTTCCAAGGCCCTTGCATCCTTATCGCGCGTCCTTGCGATACGGTTATGCTATATGTCGGACTCCATGAGCTTCCAGCGCGGGCCCAGATGCTGCCCAAACAGCCCCAGGGATGCGCCCCTAACACGCTCCAGCAGGATCGCAGGCGGCCCCACAAGACAGCATGCTTAAAAGAGAGGCTCCACGAGTCCCCGTATAGAAAGCCCCCAGATACATTGAGAAGCAGCTTGTTTTGCATTAGCGACATGCGATCGTTTTCTTAGTCATTGTTTTGCCGATCGGCGCGGACCCTCGCACCCCCCCCCGTCCCCCCTGGAGTAGCTCTTGGCTGTTTTCGGCGCCTGTTTCGAGCAGGTGGAGTCTCCCCCATAGGACGCACTGGTGCAAACAGCCGCAGTAAGCAGCGGTCCAGAGCCAGCCCTCCCACTCCCCCCTCTTCCGCCCAACGTCGAAACGCCGAAAAAGACACCGTTCACCATGTGTTGCTGATGCATGTGTTGGATTATCGTGTGTCTCTTCTTCAGGCGGCTGCGGGAACGCTTCACAGAGCCCCGCCGCGAACCCCACCAGCGCTGGAAGAGGTCCCCAGGGCGAGCTCACAGTGATCCACCAGGACCCCAAGACTGCCCAACAGAACCTCTCGAAGAGGCCCACGACGGCCCTACAGGGCCCCGCGGCATCGTTTCGTGCGTTTCCTGGCTTCCAGCCCGACAAGGCAGAGTGACACATGCTGTCAGCCTGCGCGGCATTGCGTCTCGACGGGGCCGCCGCCGGGACACGCCAAGCAACAGCTCCTGACCGTGAATGGTAACCCCTCCAGAAGATCGGACAATGTGAGAGCCGTGTAGCGAGACGTTGTTATGGGAGGCGCGTTTTTCTCCCCCACATCCTCGGTGGGGTTATTGGTCCCCACACTCTACTTGGGGGTAGTGTTTTATCTGGGCATCCTGCGCAGTTCTTCTCCTCCTCCCCCTTCTCCTCCACGTCCCCCCTCGCGCACTCATCAGCAGCATCATCATCATCATCATCCTCACCATCACCATCATCATCGTCGTCATCATCGCCATCATATCCACATCATCAGCATCATCATCATAACCATCATCACCATCATCATCAGCATCATCACCATCACCGTCATCATCATCATCATCATCATCATCATCATCATCATCATCAGCATTATAATCATCATCGTCACCACCACCATCATCAGCAGCATCAGCATCAGCATCACAATGATACCAGCACACGCCTCATCAGCATCATCATCACCCACACTACCATCATCAGTCACACACTTACCAAACACGAACAACATCCCATGCACTCAACATATCATCAGCATCACTGTCATCATGATCAACATCTCGCTGATTATCACCATCCCGTCATCACCACCATCGCCTTCACAGCATCATCCTCATTATCAGCATCATCATCATCATCATCAGCATATCATCATCATCATCATCATCATCATCAGCAGCAGCAGCAGCAGCATCATCATCATGGCGCGCACACTCATACGTCCATCGTAAGGAAATCTCGACCGGGAGCCCCGTCTATGAGTGAATTGCGGGGAAGTCTCAGGCGAGAGCCCCCTCCCGATGGAGCCCGCAGATCATGTTATCCACCCGAGCGGGTGATCCAAATCTTGTGACTGTCGTCATTATCGGGCCCCTGTGCTTGGAATCTGGAGGAAGTCTTGTGCGGCAGCCTCGTCCGTGAGCGAAATACGGGGAATTATCAGACGAGAGTTCCGTCCCTATGGGGCCCGCAGATCATGTCCTTAATCCGAGCAGGCCTTACCGATCCAGTAGCTGTCGTCACTTTCAGATCCTCGAGCTTTGAATATGGAGGAAGTCTCGTGCGGGAGCCTCGCCCGTGAGTGGCATGCGAGGACCGCAGATCATGTGATTGATCCGAGCGGGCCACCCGAATCTTGTATATGTCGTCATGTTTGCGCCGGTGAGCTTCGGGTCTGGCGGAGGTCTCGTGCGGGAGCCTCCCACGGGGCCCGCAGATCATGGTATCCCCAACCCTCCTGAGTTGGGCTCTCGTTTTGAATAGGGCACGGCGGTCTCCGCTCCTCTCCTCTCCTCCCCATTCTCTCTCCGGCCTCCTCTGCCTCTTCTCCGGCCTCTCTCCTGCCTCTCTTCTGCCTCCTTTGCCTCTTGCTGTGCTGGGTTCTCGTCTTGGATAGAGCACTGTGGTCGAGATTTCCCCCCCCCCCCCCCCCCCCCCCCCCTCCCCCCTCGTGCCGCATGCCTCCTACTTGATCCCAACCCTCCCTTGGTTGGGCTCTCGTCTTGAGCAGAGCAGTATGTATGGGCCCCACCTCTCCATCCTCTTCCTCCCTCCTCCCTCCTCCCTCCTCCCCGCCTCCCCTTCGTCCACTCCCCGCCCCCTTTCTTTCCTGTTTAGTCGTCCTCTTCCTCGTCGAGACCCCGCGGGCCCCTGCGGGGCTGCGAACAACGCAACTGCCGCCGCTTTCGTGGGCTCCTGGGAGGTCCAGCGGAGTGGAGGTCTACGCGGACTTGCCGAGACCTCGTGGCTCCCAGCGGGGCTGCGAACCGCGCAATCGTCGCCATTGTCGTGGGCTTCTGGGAGGTCCAGCGGAGTGGAGGTCCACGCGGACCTGCCGAGACCTCGCGGTTTCCAGCAGGGTTGCGAACCGCGCAATTGTCGCAGTTTTCGGGGGCTCTTGGAAGGTCCAGCGGAGTGGAGGTCCACGAGGATCTGCCGAGACCTCGCGGCGCACCGCGTGGTGACGAACCGCGCAAGTATCGCCACTTCCGTGGGCGCCTTGGAGGCCCAGCGGAGCCGAAGTCCTCGCGGCTCCCCGGGGAGCTGCGAACCGCGCAATTGTCGGGAGGTCCACACGGATTTGCCGAGACTTCGCGGCTTCAGCGGGATTGCGAGCCGCGCAATTATCGCCACTTTCGCGGGTGCCTGGGAGGTCCCGCGGAGTGGAGGTCCAAGCGGACTTGCCGAGACCTCGCGCCTCCCAGTGGGGTTGCGAACCGTGCAAGTGTCGCCATTTTCGTGGGCTCCTGGAAGGTCCAGCGGAGTGGAGGATTACAGGGACTTGCCAAGACCTCGCGGCTCCCTGCGGTGTTGCGATCCGCGCAATTGTCGCGGTCCGGCGGAGTGGAGGTCCACGCAATCTTGCCGGGACCTCGCGGTGCAATTGTCGCCATTTTCGTGGGCTCTTGGGAGGTCCAGCGGAGTGGAGCTACACGAGGATTTGCCGAGAACTCGCGGCGCCCTGGGGGTCTGCGAACCGCGCAACTGTCGCCGCTTTCGTGTCCACGCGGAACTGCCGAGACATCGCGGCTCCCAGGGGGGTTGCGAACCGCGCAACTGTCACCATTTTCGTGGGCCCCTGGGATGTCCAGCGGTGTGGAGGTCCACGCAGACTCAGCCGAGGTCTCGCGGCTCCCAGGGGGGCTGCGAGCCGCGTAATTGTCGCCAGTTGTTTGTAGGCTCCTGGGAGGTCGGTCCAGCGGAGTGGAGGTCCACGCAGACCCAGCCGAGACCTCGCGGGCCCTGGGGGCTGCGAACCGCACAACTGGCCTCCACTTCGTTGGCGCTTGGGAGGTCCAGCGGAGTGGAAGTCCACGCGGACCCAGCCTGACCTTGTGGCTCCCTGGGTGGCTGCGAAGTGCGCGTCGTTCGTCACGTTCGTTCGTGTTGAGCGGTCCTTGATATAGTTGCCCCGTGTTAGAAAAGATTTCGGTACGTCACCAGGTGATTAATCCGAGCGGGCCCTCCGAACCCTGTAACTGTCGTAACTCTCGGGCCCCTTAGCCTTGCATTTGGAGTCTCGTGCGAGAGCCTCGCCCGTGAGTGCAATGCGAGGAAGTCTCAGGCGGGAGCCCCCTCCCCATGGGGCCCGCAGATGATGTTATCAACCCGAGCGGGTCATCCAAATCCTGAAATTGCCGTCACCTTCGGGCGTGCGCCAAGGCGAGAAGGAGAACGATGCAGAGGAGACAGCAAGGGCGCCTCACCAATGACGAGGATGGCGATGAGGGTTATTTCCAGATTAGGCGAGAGAGGATTCTTGTGCGGGGTCCTAACGTTGCAGAAACTGTTTCTCTCGGCGTCGAGGGCTTTCTGGCCCACGGTGGCTCCGAGAGAGCGCCATGGGTCCAAGGCCCGGGAGACCCCGAAGGCAGCCCAAGAGGAACTCCAGAAGCCCTCGTAGCCGATTTGGCTCGAGCCCCTCTGGCTCGCATCGTTCTTCCGTCTAAACGGTGGCTGCTTGCATTCCGCCACTTGCTTCGAGCTGACTGGGGCTCCGCGGCAGCTCATGGGCCTCGGGCGACGATAGCCTGGCAGCGACCCCATGGCGACCGCCATGATGCAGGCCATCGCCGCGGCGAAGAAGAGCGAGAAGAAAAAGAAGAAGGCCCCCGCGAAGGAGCCGCCGGCCAAGCCGCCCCTCTTCGAGGCAGGCGACAGGGTCCTGTACTGGAGCGAGTCCAAGCGCAGCTGGGTCGACGCAGAGGTGCTGCGCCGCAGGGAGGCGGACGGCACCGTCGCCTACGACCTCAACCTCAAGTCCAAGGCCCCGCAGGCCAAGGCTCAGGGGCAACAATAGGGGGGGGGGGTGGGCATAGATAGGTTCAAGTCGGGCATGTCCCTCAATAGGATGAACATTCAAAAATAGTCCAAAAAGAATCGGGGGACAATTTTTCATTATTGACAACTATGTTCGAATGTCGTTGACCACCTTTCAAGTTTCTTCCAACATCCGCCTGTAGGGGACATGCCCGACCTAAGCATAGGGGGGATGCATCGACCCCCTTATCGCCCATTGATCGCTGATAGGGGTCTGATAGCCCTCCCCCCCGCCCAGGAAGGTGCGGTTTCGCTATCGGGGGCATATCGCCGATCTATCGGCGATGTACCGTCGATTCCAGGTCGATGCATCCCCCCCCCCTGTGACAGGAGGAGGAGAGGAGGAGGAGGAGAAGAGGGAGGAGGAGGAGGGGGAGGAGGCGGAGAGAGGAGGAGGAGGAGGAGGAAAGGAGGAGGAGGAGGAGGAAGGGGAGAGGAGGAGGAGAAGGAGGAGAGGACGAGGAGGTCAGAGGAGGAGGAGGAGGAGGAGGAGGAGGAGGAGGAGGAGGAGGAGGAGGAGGAGGAGGAGGAGGAGAGGAGGAGGACGAGGAGGGAGGAGGCGGAGGAGGAGGAGGAGGAGGAGGAGGAGGCCCTACGCCAGTCCCCCCCTCATCGTTGCCCCTCCAAGGTGCGGCCAGTTCCGGGCGAGGGGGAGGCCTTCGACCGCAGCGCGCCTCCCCCGCCGGAGGCCCCCGCCTCCGCGTTCGCGAGCTTCGACGCCTTCGGCGGCAAGGCGGCCAAGAAGCGAGGACGGGATTCCGACAGCGAGGACCGGGTCGCCCGAACGGGGCACGGACAAAGAGTTCGAACAAGAGACAACGCCATAAACTAAAATGTTTTGTTATCCGCGCGGATTGCTTGGATCCGCGCTGGGCCCCCCCGGCGGCGCCTCAGGCGCCGCCCCTGGCGCGCCTCGCGCGCCAGGGAGGGGGGTCCAGCGCAGATCTCAGAAACCCGCGCGGAGAGGCAAAGTGTATGTTCATGCCGTTGCTTATTAATATTGCTAACATTACTAATTTTAGTATGAGTATTATTATTCGTATTGTTATGTTTCTTCTTCGTATTGGTCTTATTGTTATTATTATTATTATTATTATTATTATTATTATTATTATTAGTATTAATATTAATATTAATATTGTTATTATTATTATTATTATTGGGACGCCCGAAATTGGCACGGACAAAGTGGGCACGAGGCTCAACAGCGAAGGCTGTCCCAAACCGACAGCGGCCGCTGCCGGGCAGGCGATTTTCGGCTCCGATTTCTCATCCTTCTCTTCTCTCCCGGCGGGGCGGCGCGAGAGCGCGAAGTCATTCGCGCTTCAAGTAGCGCGAAGCGCGAAGCTAGGCGCCATTGTTGTCCCAAACCGACGGCGGCCGCTGTCGGGCAGGCGTCTTTCGGTCTCAAGCGGTGGGTGTCCGCGGCGACGCCGACCGCGAGTCCAGTTCAAAGGGGGGAGTTCCCCAGGGTTGCTAAGGATTCCTGAGGATTCTTGCACGACTCCTGGAGGATTCCTCAAGGTTGCTTGGTGGATACCAGAGGGATTCCAATGGGATTTCTGAAGAATTCCTGAGGGTTCTTGAGGCAGGAACTGTTGTTGGTCTTCGTCCCCACTCTTTCCGTACGGTGGGGGCGTTCGTTACGGGATGCGCCCAGGGGAGAACAGACCTTGCAGGCGGTGGTGTGTCCATGGACACTCCACGATTGGGGTTCCACCGGCTTCCATCGTGGAGACGTAAGGCTCGAGTTCGCCAGAACTCGGTTTTACCGACGCGTTCTCACGGGCCCGTCTCTGAATTTTGACGGTCCAGCGTTTCCGTGGAATTTTCGCTATGGGAGCTCGCGTCGAGTTTCACGGCTGGGTCTAATCATCTTCTTGACGGCTTTGTCGAGCCAGGATCCCCCCAGAACCCGAGTCTGACATCTCCCGGACTGCAGACCCCGCACTCCTCCTCCAGTGGCTCCTTATCCAACTTAGGAGGAACAAACACACACGCACACACACACACACACACACGCACACACAAACACGCACAAGCAAGCACACATACATACACACATATGTAAATATATACATACATACACACATACACATATCATCGTCGATTCCAAGGAAGATGCGGAACACATGGGAAGTAGAGGAGAAGACGAGCATCTGGAAAATATGGACCATCTGGGGGACCCTTGGATCTGTCGATCGCACCGAGAGGACGGGGAACGCCGGAGGGCCCGCGCCGCGCAAGAGCAGGCCGCGACCTTCGAGTGGGGCAGCCCCCCACCCGAGCTCCTCGCGAGGGAGGCCTTTGGAGAGCACGACGCCCCCGCCTTCATCGACCACTTCGTCCGGCACTTCGTCGGGGCGTGGGAGGATCTGGGCCTCCCAAACGGGGGCCCGAGTCGGATGGGGCCAGGACGAGGACAGGTCGTTTCCAGAGCGGTGCGGCGTGCTCTCAGAGCGTTCCGGAGCGCTCCGAGAAGGCCGCGGAGACATCCTCGAGAGCCGCGAGACTCTCGATGAGGCCTCACCCGAAATTATCCGAGTCCTCGTCTTGGCTTCGTCTTACCAGGTGGAGTGGGTTCGAACGATCGCTCCGCATCGCCACATCTTCCAAGCGTCGTCGATGCGGTACGGTCCTCTGGCCCCATCTACTAGGACCCATGCCCCACCCAGACGCCTGACGTCATGATTTGTTCGCGAAGTTGACCCCGAGAGGTCTCGACACCCATTCCCCCGGAGCGGTTTCTCATCCCGGGGCCCGGTAAGGGAGGAGGAGGAGGAGGAGGAGGAGGAGGAGGAGGAGGAGGAGGAGGAGAAGATTGAGTAGGAGTAAAAGTTGGAGGAGGAGGAGGAGGAGGAGAAGGAGAAGGAGGAGGGGGAGGGGGGAGGAGGGGAGGAGGAGGAAGAGGAGGAGGAGGAGGAGGAGGAGCAGGAAGAGGAGGAGGAGAAGGAGAAGGTGAAGGAATAGGAGGAAGAGGAGGAGGAGGAGGAGGAGGAGGAGGAAAAATACAGACCCACCCCCGTCGCGATTCTGTCCTGGCCTCCTGGCTCGAGGGGCTCTGGCTTTGGGAGGCCTCTGGAGGAGCAGCGCCGCGCCGGCTTCCCGGCCTTCGCGGACGCCGACCGGCGGGCCTTCGGGGGCGACGCCCTGGAGGAGGCCCGGCGCGCCGTGGTGCCGCTGCTGGTGCAGCTGGCGCGGGGCGAGAGGCGGGTTCGGCCGCAAGTCGTAAGTCGGGCACGTCCCTCTTCAGGGAGAGCATTCCAAAATGGTCAAGGTGTAGCCGGGGGACGATATTTCTAGTATGCTCTGGCTATCTTTGTGTTCGTTTGACCGTGGTTGCAATTCCGCCCAAAATCCGCCTGGAGGAGGACATGCCCGACCTAAAAGCAAAGCATGGGGGCCTCGTGCCACGGCTGAAGGTCTTTAGGTTTGGTCCCCCCCCCCACACACACACCTTTCTCTTTCCGGGGGTGAATAGTCCTGGTTCTAAAACCTCCTCGTCCTCCTCCTCCTCCTCCTCCTCCTCCTCCTCCTCCTCCTCCTCCTCCTCCGCCTTCTCCTCCTCCTCCTCCTCCTCCTCCTCCTCCTCCTCCTCCTCCTCCTCCTCCTCCTCCTCCTCCTCTCTTCCTCTTCCTCCTCCTCCTCCTCCTCCTCGTCGTTGTCGTCGTGGTTGTTGCGCGGCGGGTGCCGCGGACAAAAATAATTCATTACCTCCTATTGGTGGGACCTCAGTTTTTCAATAATATCGTCGAAATCATGATTAGTTATACCCCCTATCGGGGGGTCTAAAGACCTTTCAGGGTTACCGTCGCAGCTCAGTCTTCAGAGTGCACGGGCGTTGACTGAGATAGCGCCGATTTAGCGTGGACTAGCGTCGGCCAGCTTCGATGTCGCGTCGATGTGCGTCGATGAGCGTCGATTCGCAAGAGCCCACAAGATGGTGTGGGAGGCTCCCATGAGTTGCTTCAGAAGGCTGGAGCGTGGCGAGACCAAAGACGAGAAGATCAAGATGTGCGGAGGGCGTACCGCCTGCGACGGCAGTCAGGGGCAACGTTAGGGCGGGTCGAGCTTCGAGGTTTTCTCGCGCTCGTCGGTTCTCGGTGGTCTTCCGGCCTCGGGATACCTTCCAGCCGTTGCGCTTCGCCGAGAGGCTTCGGGGGTGCCCCGATCGTCTCGAACGGCCGCCGGAGAGTGGAGCAATGACCTGAAAGCTAGGAGGCAACTTTTGGGGAGGATGGGCTCAGGGGGGAACGCATCGAACCCCAGTCGCCCATTCATCGCCGACAGGTGTCCGATGGCCCAACCCGCCTAGGACCGTGCGGACTCGCAGCTGGGGGCGGCCAATCGCCGATTTAGCGGTGCTGTGTCGCCGAGTCCGCGTCGATGTTTCCTCGCTCCCCCCCCTCCCCAGCAGCCCCCCCTGAGCCGGTCCCTCACTAGCGCTCTCCTTCAGGCAGGCATGTGGACGAGGCCGGCGTCTTGGAGCAGCTGCACAGGATAGCCTCGAGTGCCGCTGTTCGTGACTATGCGGAGGCCCACAAGGCCTACATGAAGCTGACGTTGGGCCACAAGAAGTGGAACAACACTTGCGTCACGCACGTCTCGGCGAGTACAATGCAGGGCGCCAGAGAGTACAGGAGGAATCGAGACAGCCTCAACACTTACGACATGGACCCGGTGGCCCAGAAGTACATGCAGGCGATGCGGAAGATCGTGCACTTTGCGCAGCGCATCAGACCGAATGACGACCAGTCTAAGAATGTGGTCATTTGAGTGGCGTCTGTTTGGGGATGGCCTTGCCGGAAAACCATTCGGGAGCGCGGGCGCAACCGAAAAGTCGAGCATGGCCCCAAGGCGTCCCCGACCAAGGCGGCTCCCCGGCGGCGCCCCAAGGCAGCGGTGCCCCACGAGCCCCCAAGGGCCCCCAGGACTTCCGAGGAGCGGCCCTGAGAAGCTCTGAAGACCACCTACGGCAGGTCCGTGTCGCGTTGACGGGCGGCGACGCCACCGCTGGCGTCCCCAACGCTGGAACGCCGCAGGCGACCTGGAATCGCTCAACGTTGAACGAGCTGACGTTTCGGAAACGGCCGATCGTTTAAAGTGGAACGATCCCCGCGGTGTCAGGAGCCAATGCCAGGGTCGACACGACACGAGCCTGCCGTACCCTGACATCCGCCGCCCTGAGTGGTTCCCTGATCGAGGCTTGGCATGGCCCTGGGCCGCTAGAACGAAGACGGCCAAGGGCGAGGCCAAGGAGAAACACCGGGATTGAACAAACCATCTCGTGGGAGATCTGGGCAAGAGGGCCCAGAAGGTCTCGATGGCGCGCGCAACAAGACGGCCAGGGGGGGCCCCAGAGGCCCTTCCCGTCGGCGGCGGTCTGGCAGAAGCAGCATCCCGCCACTTCCGCCAGTTATCGCCAGCGCCGTCACTCACCGAGCGCGTTCCGCTATCCGCAAAATGCCTATGCGCAATTGCCCGAGAAACGCTTATCTTCCGCTATGTAATGGATCGTAAGCCCCACGCGGCGGGTCCATGCCACTTGCGAGCAGGTACTTTGCGAGTAGTGGAACGCGCTCGTCTAGCCACCACCATCAGCCAAGGGCTGGAGAGGGGCATGAGCAGCAGCAGCAGCAGCAGCAGCAGCAGCAGCAGCAGAGCGAGCACGAGGAGGAGCACGAGGAGGAGCACGAGGAGGAGGGCCAGCTGGAGCAGGAGGAGGGTCCTCCCTCCCGGTGGCCACATGTGAGTCCCACCCCCACCCCCCCCAACACGAGTTCTAAGGGGGTGGGTGGGTTCACTTCGTTCGGGAGCTCCCGAGCGGAGTGACCCCCCCCACACTCCTTAGAGAATCGTTGGGGGGGTGGGGTAGGATTTCACATGTGGCCACCTATCCCTCCTCCCTCCCCAGACGTCCGGCGCTCCGATTTGTCGGATGCGTGGGTCCCTTGAGGTCTCGACCCCTTCCCCAGGGCTGGCGGTTCCCCCTGGGCAGTTTCGTGACGCCCCCCATGGCGCGATGAGGGCTCCCCGGTGGCCGAAAATCGCGTGGGGTGGAAACTGTCCTCCCTGGCATCTTTCCTCGCGTGGTGAACAGCGCGGAATGTTCACACGGTTGCTCCCCAACGGGGCACTTCCCTCAGTGGAAATGACTTTTTTCCTTCTCTCCTTTCCCCCTCTTTCCTCCTCCTCATCATCCATCATCTGCTCTCCCGCGCACGGGGCGACGCTGGAGCAGAGGCCGTGCTCGCGACCAAGCACTCCGCCAGGCAGACCACCACGCGCGGACTCAGCGAGATCGAGGACCCCTCCCGGTGGGGGGGAATGAGAAGAGGGAGGAGGGGGAAAGGCGAGAAAGGGACGAGGAGGGTACAGGCTTGGGGATGGGGCGCGTCGCTCGCGCCCCTTTTTCGGGAGGCCCTGGCGCTCGGCCCAGGACTGCGCCGACGGAAGCGGCAGCACGGGCGGGGAAAAGGAGCAGAGGGGGAGGGGAGGAGGAGGGGGGGGGAGGACGAGGGCAAAGGGGAAGGGGAGTGGGGGAGGAGCAGAGGAGGAGGGGAGGAGGGGAGGAGGGGAGGAGGGAGGAGAGGAGGAGGAGGAGGGAGGAGGAGGAGGAGGAGGAGGAGGAGGAGGAGGAGGAGCTCACCCCTCGGCCAGAGGAGTGTGCCAGGAGGAGGAGGAGGAGGAGGAGGAGGAGGAGGAGGAGGAGAAGGGGGAGGAGCTCACGTCTGAGGGGGGGGGTCCAGAAGCAGCGTGCAGGCTCCAGCGGGTTTGAGGGGATGTGGGCGGCCCCAGGGCAGGAAGAAGAGGAGAAGAGGGAGAAACATCGATGACAGGAAAGGCGGCCTGGCCAAATCCTAACGTACGGGCTCTCCCCTCCAATGGAGCAATTGCTTGTGGAATGACGGCTGATGATGAAGCTGATGTTGATGATGTTGATGATGATGAAGACGATGATGGTGATGATGATGTTGATGATGATGCCGATGGTGATTATGATGTTGTTGTTGTTGATGATGAAAATTATGATGAGCATGATGATGCAATTAATGATGATGATGATGATGATGATGATGAGGAGGAGGAGGAGGAGGAGGAGGAGGAGGAGGTCGATGATGATGATCATGATGCTGATGATGAGGGTGATGATGCTGCTGCTGCTGATGATGATGCTGATGCTGATGCTGCTGATGATGATGATGATGATGATGATGATGATGAT